GATGGTAAAATGTAATTGTTGAACAGTCTGCCAAAGAGATAACTCAGTAACATTTAAGACCTTTTTTGACAACTGAATTTCTCTCCATCTTGAATCAAATGCTTTTAAAATTGTTTTCAAGCAAAGTTTGAAAAAAATGCCAAGTCAAAGCCTCCAAATGCATCATACATTTTTGACTTATCACCTACTGAGATATGTTAAGTCTGGAAAACATAAAAAACATGCTTCATAAGTCTGAAGTTGTTAGTGTTTGAGCTAGTAGAACTAAATGATCATGGGATATAGTTGAAGTAGACTAGACCATACACTAAATTAATTTTTAACATTCAGATGTTTAAAAATTATTTTGTGTTTAAGCAAAGCTGACTATGATTTTAAAAAGAGAAGACTAGAAGAGTAGAATTAGTGGGTTAATATTTAACAGTGGGTTATAATAATAGACTTACTTGGTTTAACACAAAAGCAGTTTTGCATATGAAAATTTCCAAAACACCAGCAAGATCCAGAATGTATCAGAATGTAGATTTTGATACTTGGGTCTAATTTATATAATAGCACCATTTAAGAGAAGTTTTATTCTCAAATTGATTTTTTGGAAGGCATCCAGACATAATTTTTTAAAAGCTCTCTGTGTTAAAAAAAATCCTTGCTTCAACCTTTATACATTTGAAAAATTACATTTATGGTTGAAAGGAAGAATTATATAATTTAGGCCAATACCATGAACAAGTTCCTCATGTTTCCATATAATTTAAACTATAGTCATACTGTCATCTATAAAAGATCAATTGAAAAAATAAAATTTACATGACAACAAAAATAAATTTCCTAATATCAAAGATTAGGTCCCATGAGATGTATTCTTGACATGATTTTCTAATGCCCCTCAGATTTATTAACCCCCAAAATTATCAGGAAGAAAAAATTCTAATTAAATATTTTCATTATTCTACAGTAAAAGTACCTCTAAAAATCAGTTATCCAAATTTTAAAAAGAATATTACTTTAAGAATAAAAATGTCTGCTAGTGCCATTTTATTACTTCTTCAGTAAATACAGGAAATTATATCTTTGTGTCTGTCCACTGTTAGCATGTTCTTTTTCTCAGTGTTGGGCTCATACATGAAATTTGTCTAGAGCCAGGACTCATGCAAAAACTTCATCAACGGAGTGAAACTTTCTCCAACCCAATCAAATAGAGAAGACAGTTTTAAAAACCTTTCCTGCAAGGATATATAACATGCTACATATTTATGTTTGTATGTTTTGGTCTATATTATTTCAAAGTATGCAAAACTCTTTTGTGTCGTTTACTACTAGACACTTGCTTAGGAAATGTGAAACCTTCACCCAATCACAAACCATATACACTGCTCCATTGTGTCTTTTACACTGAGTCTCCTACTGAGTCCAAATCATCCGAGGAGAGGGGGCGGTACAGGTCCTGAAAGACGAAGGGCAGGGACATTTCGTTTATTTGCTTTTGTGGGTGCCCTGTTGCTTCCAGAGGAGCAACTCTGAATGGCATCCTTGGTTTCTAGTATTATTAGAAATTTACTTTGGGTATGAGAAAAGAAGACAATGAAGAAACCATCTACATAGATAAAATGATAACTGATTTCACCTTAATGACATGATAAAGACTACCTGATCTGTTTGTGAACTTTTCCCTTCCTTCCTGCTCCATTCAGTTGAGGCCCTGATGTCCACCAAGGCCAGCTCTGCTACTCTGTATCTAGAAAATCTTACTATGAACATTTCCTTTCCATTCTTTCAGAAAAGGAATGTGCTTGTCCCACAAAATAATTTATCAGCTGCCCCAGCAGGTATTTAGCATATTCTGGTTCTCGAGCAGCAACTCATGCACTTTGGACACAGCAGAAATGCCAAATTCCCCATCCACTCCCTTCCAATGCTCCTTCCTGTCCCCAGCCACTTGCCCACCACGTCACCTCATCTTCCCTCCTGGGCCTTGATGCTGTGAGATCTCTCAGTTGGTAGCCAGGCAACCAGCTCAGATCTGCCAAGTGTCTACAGTTGGCTTTTTTTCAATTTGCTACCTCCCACTCTGCACATCATCTGATCAGATAATCTACAAAAGTCAGCGATGTGGGAGGATAAGAAGGAGCTTCATTTAACCTGCACAACACATATCATCCTGAGGTCTTGAGAAATGGAACCAAAAGAGTTCATGGACAAGAAAAGAAGCTCTGAGGTCCGATTTTGTGACCACTCAGATACTTCTAGATAGCAGCCGAATTCATTGTTCTTTGTAAAAATGGGGACATTGCTTAGTACTCTGCCATGAATATGTTTATGAAACAAAAATTGAACATGTAGAATTAATTGTATATGACAATTCTAAAATCACAAAAGAAGTAACATAAAAACAGAATTTAAGGGAGGTAAAAAAGATGATTGATTCATCCCTAAGTAAAATATAGATTTTCTTATTTCTAATCAAGGTAGTCAATTTTCCAAATACTTTAAAAAGAAAAAAACAGCTCATATCCTTATATTTTACAGAGGGCAAGAAGTGTGTGTGTGTGTGTGTGTGTGTGTGTGTGTGTGTGTTGGAATGGGAGCAGCTAACTCATTTTTCCAGCTATGTTGCTAGGCAACACAGGAGGGAAAAAATAGAAATAGCTCCTGTTTTCTAATTTGCAATAAAATGAGTTAATTTATTCTTTGAAGTGCCTTCTTTTAGCACATGCCATCTTTTTCTTATTTCAGTATTTCCTGCATAGGAATATAGCCAAACATTTGAGAAGAATATTAAGTTTGAAATGGGAACAGTTTTTAGGGATGTCCTAGGCTCAGTTTAACTGGAAGGAATTATTTGATGCTGCTGTCTGCACACCAGGATGGAAGGTCCTGCCACTACCACAACTGGGAACATCTCCATGCACTGACATGGTACATAGATAGAGGATGCTCATCCATTGAAAGCCTTGAAAACAGAACCATCTTTGAATATATGCAGCTAAATTCAAACTCTTGGAAACTAAACCATCTTTGAATATATCCAGTGAACTACTTACAATCTGTGTTTAATAAATATTTTCACGTGGTGATAAACTCTTTGTCCCCCTAAAACAAATGGAATACTCTCCACCACTTCAAGTATGGTGCTTGCACTGGTACTATAACTGGTAAAATGAAGAGTCTGTCAGAAAACCTTGTGGTCATTTATTTCCCAAGCACTAAACGTGTTAATTATATAAGCCCATGACTATACAGCTGTGTGGAAATTCCTGCCTCAGTTAGATGAAATCCTAGAGAGGCAGAGAATACAAAGGGAAGTGATGGAAATTCTTACCTCATTCTGCCAACAAAGGACATCTGAGCACAGCTTTACACCTCCAGGGTTAGAGGGTCACAGGACAAACACAGTGGGAGGAAAGCTGGCTCACATCTGTAGCAGGGATTCCCAAGCATTCTTAATTTTAGCTCAACAACTAAATGTGAGGGACACCTATAAATTTAGATTGGATCAAAGGATAAAGAGGGATTTTTATGCTAGGCTGAGTCTCTGAAGTGCTCACTTCAAGAAAGAGAAAGTTCTCCACCAGAGGGTCCTTCCTGTGCTGGATATAAGGGCTGGCCCCACAGCCTGGAGCCTTTCAGTGTAATATTTAGAAGAAAAGAATGGCCACACTAGTTTCTTCTCTACTCAAGGATAGGCTATTAAGAGATTAAACAAATTCAATCAATTTTTCTTTGCATAGTTCAATGATTCCTGCACTTTAAAATGCTAAATTAGGCTAAGAAGACCCTAGCAGTAACACTCAAGTGGATTTGGAATAGGGTTATTTGGATTTTCTATCTGAAAAGAGACTTTCTTTTTTCCAAGTGAGACCCAGAAAGGGTGATAGACTTAAGATAACACAGCTCTTTAGTGGAGAATCTGCTGCCAAGACCCAGGTTTCATCAAGCAATTCAAACAAGCCCAACCTGATGTTAGGCTAATCAAATGAAGACAAATAATGAAACCTGATGTTTGGTATGACAGTCTCCCCTGTGCCCTCTACTTTAAGATGGCTGACAGTTCCAGCAGGCTAAAGACCAACTTGGTCAGTATATTTCAAGAAAGGGGGCTTCCTTCTTGGTTGAGGTTTAAATTTATGCAACTTAGATGGGTCACCTTGAAACACATAATAAAAGAAACCAAATTCAAGGTATCAGTATTATAGCTCAGTAGCTTCCAATGAGAGCTTGCTTATTAAACTATTTGTTGGGCATCATCATGAACTCTCCTAAAGGCACACATTCTGCTAGTGTTGCTTGTGAAGTCCAGACCATGAATGGCCTTCCATTTCTGCCTTCGAGCTTCCCACCTCCCCTTTCCAGTACTTTGATTCTTGCTATGATATTACTGGAAAGAACAATAGGCAGAGCACTTTTTGTACCCTGAATGAAGCATGAATTCTCATCCCTTTCCCAAGTATGGAAAAACTAATGCTTGTTTCTAACAACTCTTCCACTTTGGTCTAAAGGCTCAGCCACGTTCTTTATGATTACACAAGATGAAACAAAATGTGTTCACTGTGGGCTTCATTCACAAAACCACATCTCCTCTGAGGGTACCATCTTCTGTTCCACAGGCTCTCCACTGCTCAGTCCTCCCTTCCACTAACAACACTTACCCTTTTCCTTAAGCAGGTGGTGATCCATAATGCTATCTAATGAAAGTTCTTGCCGCTAAGGCAGCTTACAAACCAGTGCTACTAAACTCTGTGCCTTTAAAACAAAAAAGAGGATGACATCTCAAAGTAAATCAGCCAGTGTATGTTCTTCTGAGAGTTAAGATTTAGAAAAGTGGTCAGAGAAGTTAAAAGCTCTGCATTGTAGCTAAACCACAACAAGGATAAGTGACCCGGTATTTGTCACTCCCTACCCTGGCTGGGTGGAGACAAGTTAGAGACGGGCAGCACAATTTGCTAGCTCTGTACACCAAGGCACAGACACATCTCAAATAGTTAGCTTGCTTGTTTCCTTACCCTCTGCTTCCGTAGGCTTCCTGGGCTGGTTGGTGATGGGCTTGGCGACTTGCCCGAGCGAGGAGTGGAGAGCTGACTACCAGGGGTTCCATTAACTAGAAAAAAAAATCACAAGAGAAAAATGGCATGTTAGGGGATTTTCATGACAATTGATCGCCTCAGAGAAATAAACAGTGGGAGATGGCTGTCTGCTGAAGTGTAGACACCTATTTATCTGTGTCATGAAGAAAAGATTAGGAAGCATTCATCTTCACAAACTCACTGCTTTGTTAATTTTGTGTTTAATATAGCAGCACATTATATAATAGTTTTAAAAATGTATCCAACTTTCAAGATGAATTTATTAATGATGACTCTATCTGTGTCATCAAAGATTTTTGGAGTGTGGTTAAGGTCCTGAGACATTTTTAAGAGGATTCACCCTTAATTTTTATTTTAGCGGCCCAGCCCTATCCAGCAGAAAATAAATATCAGCACAGTTCACAAGTGATATTTCCACTGACTTCATAAAATAAATCACTGTGGTTTTGTAATTAATGACTTACTTCTAGCAGTTCCTGTACCCATTTATATCCTGTCCCTCCTCCAATCTTATTCTGATGGACCTGTCTTAATTAGTGCAAAGTAACTGGCTACAGACAGTGAGGAATTTCTCCTCACAACTTGTCTTTGCTGCCTTTGAAAATAAAAGCTGCTATCTATTGGGTTCAAATCACTGGCATTCTACTGGATTTTCAAGTTTTACACACTGTTATCGAAGCCAAGATAAAGCCACAGAACTCACATAAACAGAGCAGAAAGAGTACCATCACTTCTAAGAACAAATAAAACCCTTATGCAATATGATTTTATAAACATATAAGGTTGACTACATTTTACATCTAGAAATGACAACATTACAGTTCCACAATGAGTGAAGTAGAATTAAACAGGAGACACACACATCCTGGAGGGCGCATAATAAGAGTCTCCACAGGGGAGAGTGACAGTCCATTTCACTTACCTTCTATGAGTTCTAACATGGACACAGCCTTAGTGGGGGACCTGACAATAGCAAGAAGCCAAATCTCTTCTCAGCACTAAGCCGAGCACCAGCGGAAGCAGTTGGATTAGTTAAGGCTGGCTAAGGCTGCTCCAGAGCAGGCTGAATGAGATGCAGGATTCATCAGCAGATGCCTTTTCTGCGTAAGGCTGACGTCTTCCAAGCGGCAGTGGGAGGTGCGGGTTCTGTCTTAGGCTACATCAAAGGTGTCAATTAAGCCTCATGCCAACGCGGAGCCACTGCACCCGCCACCCGACACACATTCACTCCGGAAGCCCCAGCCTTCCCAGTCCTTTTCATTGAATCATAACGAAGTGCCTCTGGGGGCAAGAGCCCCAGTGACTCATCTGAGAATCAAGATGACAATAATTCCTTTAAAGCCTGGCAGCTACCAGGTAATAAGGACGCTCTCACTCCATGCAGCGGATAGGTCCAATGTTTATTGATTTTTCCCACACGATGTTTTCATAAAAACTTAATGGCCCATGAAAGTGGAAAGCTCCTTGTTTTGTCATCGTCTCCAAAGACCTTAAAAATGTCACATACTCCACGCTGCACTAGTTTGTAGTTTTGCCTTTGAAATATATTTGGGGACCCATTCTTAATAAAGAGACTACAGGCTTGTCGTGTGTGTGTGTGTGTGTGTGTGTGTGTGTGTGTGTGTGTGTGTTTTCAGAGTGCAATGAGATGCTGAGAATAATTGGCTTGCAAGCACACAGGACTGTATTTGTTGAATGAATTTCATGCTCCAGATTTCAGGCTGGGCTTCCCAGCCAGTGCCCAGTGAGGGGATAGCTCAGATGAAAAACCAAGTACTACAGGACAGGGGCACAGGAGACTCAGTACCAAGTCACAAGGAAAGGAAGAGATGTCCACTGTTGGGCTGCAGATAGTTTTGTGAATATAATATTTTCTTTACTCTCTTGGATTCCAGTTTATGTCTTTGTGTTTCAAAGGCTATGTAGATTGGGCAAGAATGACTAACCATGAAGCAGACCTAGTATTGACAATTTTTTCCTCTGGCTTTTTTTTTTTTTTCCCTGAGTTGTGTTTCTGCAGTTCTGGGACTCTGCACCTCTGAGGCAAGTGCTTGAGCCCTGGAATACACTCTCTACCCAGGAGCAAGCTAGTGGAAAATAGTATTAAGAATGAATTCCTTGTTTCAGGAGGCAAAGGCAAAGCAAGACTGTATCTAACAAGTACCCATTTTATGTGTGTCTCTATTTGTTGAAGGCTTATTTTATTCATACCAGTCTTCCCTCCTTCTCTCTCTGTCCCTCTGTCTCTTTCTTTCTCTATTTTTTTTCCTATGAGGTAAATAGAATTATGCACCCCACTTCACAGATAAGGAAATCAAGCCATAAAGATGATGCACAATTTGATAAGCAGATGATAAAATCTCACCTACTCTATCTCAAACTTAGTCTTACTGCCACTTTCCCTTGCTGCATTAGATTTCTAGCCTGTAGAGAAATCAGAAAACTAAACTAATCATTCCAATGAAGTTTTTGGAGAGGGGAATGCTTGCCTCTTGCCATCAGAATTCTAATAACTAATAAGGTCAAGTCAGCCTCCACCCTATAGAGGGGACAATGGATAATGGTGTCAGTGGTGGGGAGCTTGGTAGGACACAGTGAAAGAGAAGTATTTCAATCTCAGGGGAACACCTGCTTCAGAGATAGTCATGGGAGGGGCAGCCAGCACCATGTATGAAAGGGACCTAAATAAATTATGCAAAGCAGATATGTGGCATTGCGTGTGTGTGTGTGTGTGTGTGTGTGTGTGTGTGTGTCTGTGTGTGTTGGGGAGGTTATGAATGAGGATAGAGGAATACAGAAAGGCTGCAGGGTGTGCAGGCATTAAAATTCACAATGAGTTTGGCTTTTGTCCAAAGGGCAATGAGAATCTATTGGATGATTACAAGTAGGAGTCATGGGATCAGCTTTGCATTTTAAAAGCTCTCAAGAGCTCTTGTCCCATCAAGAACAGATCAGAGGGAACAATACAGAGCACAAGGCTATCCTTAGAAGAATGTCAAGTAGAAAGAACAGGATGCATTAAGGGTCCTATGGCCAGAGACGGTGGCTGGTCCAGGACAGGGCAATGAGGATGGAGGTAAATGGAAAAGTTCCAGAAATACTTCAGAGATAAAAACTATAAAACTAAACTATAGAGCTTGATAATGGATTTGTTGAAGAAGATTAAAGCCAAAGGGAGCATGTTTGGAGAGATAATACAGAGTTTGGACATACTGAACTGCAGTGCCTTATATAATATCAATTCTGCAGTGTGGATTGGATAGTTTTTCATGTTTTTGAGAAGGAAACAGAGTTCAGCAAGTAACTTGCTTAAAGACAGATAGCTGAAAGGTGGCAGGGTAAGAACTGGAACTCAAATATGTCTGATTAAAAAAATTGTACTTTTTGCAGGCAGAGTTGAAGGCATCTGGGTTTCTCTCTCCCCTGGGAGTCCCAGACACACTCCTTTGTTGAAAGCCACCGTTCTTAGTGCTTCTGCTTGCATCACCAGCTCTCTGGACTAATGAAACTCAAATGCTGAACAAATCTTTCACCATCAGAGAGACTTGCACACAACCCACTTGGCAGTTGAGGATGACCTGTCTATCTCAGCATCAGGGGTCTGCCCTGAGTCTTTCAAACCCCAACGCATTAGAAATTTCTTAAAATAGCACTTCACCTTTAGAAATCATTACTCATTTTATTGCTGAATTGTTACTGGAGTAAATAATTGTTTTTCATAAGGCACATTGACATATGTGTTGAGTATACTTTTGTTTTATTCTGTAACACCAGAAGTCTCTGAGCACCAATAAGAAGAGCTTTGTTACTAATTTATTAGCACTTATTGAAATTTACCTTACAAATGGCATTATTTTCAAGAGGTCCTTATTCAACAATTATCTGGAATGGAAAAAATTCAACTTAATCTGGTTGTTGTTAAATAGCCAACAATAGTAGGCCTAGCAATTAATTATTTCAATCTGAATTACTAAGCTCTGAATTTGTTAAGAACTCTTCAGAACTACTGCTTCATGCTCAGTTCTGGTTTCCTTTGCTCCTATCTGTCTGGGTCCATTTTTTGTCAGTCTTGTCTTTTCTTACTCTGCTTATTATCTCTTGGTGGGAATGTGCCAAAATTTAGGATGGATTATCCACAGGTACAAGACTGTGAAGGTACTTCCTACCAGACCCACTTCACACTGCTTGTATTTAACTCAGCTGTCCTCTAAGCCTATGAAATAATCTGACAGTAGAAGCCAGTGCCCTCCTTGTTCATGAGTTTGACCTCTCCAGTTTCAGTTACTTTTGGTCAACTGCTATCCAAAAATATCAAATGAGTGGAAAATTCAAGAAATTCTTAAGTCTAAGTACCTTTATTTATAGTATAGTGTTATAGCTGTTCTATTCTACAATTCTTTATTGTTAGTATCTTATTGTACATTATTTATAAATTAAACTTTATCACAGGTATGTATGTATGCATGCATGCATGTATGTATGTATGTGAAAAAGATAGGTAGGTCAGTAGATAGATAGACAATACATAGATAGTTGGGTACTACCTTTGGTTTCAGGAATACATGGAATGCCTTGAAGTTTGTGCCTGTGGATAAGGAAGGACCACTGTATATTGGTTACAGCACATAGCTAAATAATGCTCCTTATAACATGTCAGGCTGCACCCTTTCCTTCATCACTTTACACAGCTAATCCTACTCTTTTTTATGAGTTGTAAATAGGAATCCAGGGATCTATATCAACTAATCAGTGCCCACTCAGTACATGTAAAATTCATACTGGTCTCTGCCCCCAAGAAGCTTAAAATTTAATATGAAAGTTATCAAAACATCTAGAACATAAAAACATTTGGCTGACTTTTATTAATTCATTGCTGATTTTAAATGACTTCAGACCCATCTATATGGAAGTTGAGCAACACTTTTATGAATTTGAAGGGTTTTTCTTTACAGTTACATGTGCAACACTCCTAGGTACCAAGTGAAAACTGAATACTTTTAAGGCTCTCAAATAGGTCCTGAAATCAGAGAAATTTCAAAGCAAGATTGCCTAATGAAGAGGTGAGCAACTTTTTTTTCATTGAAGAAATATTTGACTGTGCTTCTGTTACACCCACTGTGCTAAACACAGTGGACTGAAAAATGAAAGGAATACAAGTTTCTAACAATCTACATTGAGCTACCACACATGAAAGTATGTATAGCATTGTTAACTAAAATGAGAGTTCACAGGAAAATCAAACTATTGTAGTAAAGCTGCCATAAAAAGAACATTGAAATATGTATACAGGATGCAGTTGAGGGCATTGAGTTCCTTCTGGGGAGAAGTGGGGTATGAACAGACATCCATGTGGGTATTTTAAAACAAAAACATCTCCTTAAGGAAGAGATCAGAGCTCACAGATGATTCATATCATGATCTAAACCAGTTTTCTGTACTATAATCAGAGAGTTGATAAAATTTTGATCTCTCCTTTCATTCTTTGGCTACATGGATCTAAACGCTTTTTATCAAACATGATCAGAGAAGGAAGATATGAAGATAATACACACCATTGACTTTCCGTAAAGTATTCATGAAATTTACTGAAAGAAACTCTAGGTAGACACCAAGCCCATTCCACACACAGTTTATCTTCTCACCACAGTATTTCCTACTTTGCTATAATAAGCTGATCTTGCTCAGGATCTCACACCTGAAATTGTTTCTGCAAATCTTTACACCGAGTTAGGCATGCTTATGTTTTGAAAAGCAAGGTATACAGAGCTCCATTTGTTCCTCACCACTTTGCTTGTGGAAAGATATTAGAAAATATTTGTATTTATACATTTTGCTCCATGACCAAACCAAACCTAGCTAAATGGTTTTATCAACACCTTATCAAAGTCAAAACAAAAAAGCACATGAAAAGAAAGGAGGAAGCATATATTAAAAATTAAATGACAGAACGATGGTTGAATCTCCTATATTTTATAAATGTTTAGTAATGACACTGCATTATTTCATAATGAAAACAGCTGGGAATATAAGTAACCCAGTGATGGAGCAGTCTTGAATGTGTATTTAGTCTTCAAGGGAGGAGGGAGAAACTATATCATAGGAGGTAGTTTTATTTTAGGATAAAATATTTTTAAAGTAAAAATAAATTTCAAACTGAGACTCTTCAATAGTTATCATTTCTCTTTGTATTTTTCCTTCTTTTCTATAACATGTTTTGCCCTTTGTGCCAGATTGTCCATTCTTTCATATGTGTGTAAGCCTTAGCACTCGTGCTATA